TCGAGCGTTTTTAAAATCATTACTGCCAACTGCTTTACAAGTTGATGGGCAAATTAAGAAGAAACACCATGGTGGATAGCAACGGGCTCTTAAGCTTGTGACCATAGATCAAATGACTATCCCGAAAATACTTAGCACAAACTGCAGGTCGTTACCGAAGAAAGTTGATTACCTTCAATCACTCTTGCCCACAAATGTTTATCGAAATACGGGTGTAATAATGATACGGGAAACATGTCTTCATAACCTGTATGATGATGATTTGGTCTGCTTAGATAGTTTCAAATTATTTCGACAAGATCGAAGCTTTTTCAAGAAGTGTGGTGGGGGTGTAGCAACATTTATCAATGCAAACTGGTCCTCCAACTGTATATGCTTCTGCTTCCCTAACGAAAAAATTGGGTAGATTACCATTAAATATCATCCTAAACATTTGAGTAATATATATATATATATATATATATATATATATATATATATATATATATATATATATATATATTTGTCAACTTTTGCTGATGAACTCACTGAATTTGCTGCTCCGATTCTGGGTAACTCCTTGTCTATAACTCATGTGACTGCAGTTTCCTTGTATCATTGGGTCAAGAAAATATGGTTAACTTTTCTACTCGTCTTGACAACACCCTAGGCTCTCATTATTTACAAATGAACCTGGCATATATGAAGTTCCTAAACAAGCTCTACTGCTAAATTCTTACCACTGTATTGTTCGTGTTTTGCCTAAAGTGTACGGCAAATTACACAAGAAGGCTTTCGGATACCTTTCCAAGAAAGTCCAATACAGATGCTGTTCACAAGAGAATATACTACGTTTGAGAAGCATGCTTATAGAAACAGATTGGGATATATTTTCTGATGAAGTTTTAGGCACAAGCTATGTCAGATTCTGTCTTGATATTTGCTGCCGTGCTGAAACAATCTACATGAGATTAGACAGATTCTCTTCTCATCTCAAGAGGCTCCGATGAGAAAAGGAAAGGTTGTATAAGACGAGAGATCATCGTGGCGTTAAAAGACTCAACTACCTAATTAAGTCTGAAATACAACGTCTGAATACTATTTACAACCAGAAGTTTCTATCGTGTAAGAATTTTTCCAATATATGGAAATTATTTAAAGAGCTTACTGGTAGGAAACAGATGACAAAAGAAGTTTGTTCGGATGTCTGCACGTTAAACAAGTTATTCACACGTCGGCAAGCTGATTTCATCCTTCCTAATCTAAAAAGTCTAATAGATAGCTGCTTTTCTGGCTTTAATACTCATGGTGTATTTAAGTGTTTAAAATCCTTGAATCCATCCCAAAGCTTAGGTCCTGATTGTGTTTCTAGTACTATATTTCGAAAATATGCAGATATTTTATGTCATCCTTTTACAGATATCTTCAATGCATCGTTTTCTAAAAGCAAAACACCCACTGCTTGGAAGGAGATCAAAATTATACCTGTAACTAAGTCATCTTCTGGATCAGATATTACGTTTCAACCCAACGCTACAACTTCCCCTTTTATGAAGACGACAGAGAAATTACTTCTTGTGGTTGATACTTCATTGGTGGTTTTCGGAGATCCAAAACAATTTGCTTACAAACACAGCAGAAGTACTTTAGATGCTGACACTGTCTTGCATCATAATATAGTTTCAAGTCTAGACAAAGGTGTTAAGTATGTTCGTTGTGCCTTTTTGGATTACTCATCAGCCTTTGACTGTGCTCCTAGACCACTCTTGTTAAATGAGTTTGCGATAGCTCAAACACGGCCATGGGTTACAAAGTGGCTGTATTCTTATTTTTCTGAAAGAAAATAGTATACTGTCTACAAAAGGAAGCGCTTCACTTCATTGTCTACTGAAACTGGTGTGCCTCAAGGTGGTTTACTTCCTCCTTTTCTGTTTTCGTTCTTTTTGCACGACTTACCTTATTCTGTTGAAACTAGTTTTATTAAGTATGCTGATGACCTGAAGGTGTTTACTCCAGTGAACTCTTATTTAGGTTGCTCTGAATTAGATGGATTATTGTCTCTTATTGACCAATGATCTCTCTTGAATGGTCTCGAGTTAAACTCTTCTAAACGTCAGACTGTTAATTTTAGCCTCATGTTTAAAGAAAAAGCTGCTTAAGTCTCATGACACCTGTTGCATTGATGGTATTTCTGCAGAAAGTAAATCGAGTGTTAACTATCTTGGGTTAAGTTTTACTCCTGACCTTTATCGGTCGTCTCATATCATGAGGCTTAAACAGCTCACACAAGTCTTGTTTACGCCTGACGCTAAAATTAACAGTTGTTATTGTACTACACAAGTTGGTAAAGGAGACCTATTGTTTGGAAATATTTAAGTGCGATAATGAATGTCTCTTTTGCATAGATTTGGTTAGTTCGGTTTGGAATTGCATTCATCTTCGGCTTTTTGAAATTGATTTATGCTTCGAAGGCTCACGATTTTGTCGCGTGCTCTCTCTATTTTAGAGAGAGATGGTGCGGTTGTAGCCACTGTAGTGCGTACTAATTTGTAGCATACACCACTGTTTGACTGAGATGACTCCGGATTTCATCGTAATTGTTAGCTTGCATTTCTTTCAATATGTTGGAAAGTGTATGTAGCTGAGGGTGATGATAATGGTTGTTCAGTGTTCTTTGAGCTTTTAGTATAATTGTTTTTATATGATACCGTCGTCGATTGGACCGAATTGATCGATCTCTATTAGCATATGGGCTCCTGTGCGGATGCCTCGATATTGCCAGTGTTCTAATTATGTTAATGATGAATCGTGGCCAGCAGTGGAATCCAATGCGCATTTCGTCCTATTTCGGACTCATCAGCTGGATTCCACCGCCAGCCACGATCCATCATTCTCTGAGCTTTGTTTATTTCATCGTAGACGTTTCGTCACCAAGCTTGGTGAAATCTTCAGGATTAACGTGATGAAGTTAGTGCCTTTCTTCTCTTTTGGTTACTACGTTTTACTGTCTTTCGACTATTTATGTTATATCATGTTGTGCTGATGTCGATACCGACACATTTAGTCAACTTATTCTCGAAGCACTGAAAATTGTGTTACTGTGTTTGATATGCGGCGATTTCTGTTCGTCATAAACTTGTCGCCCAGCTACATATCATACGAAGAGGATTGGACAGAGAGATAAGTTACGCGTCTTTGGATTAATTTATATGTCCTTGATTTTTTAATTTTGATTATTTCCCTGAAGATGCTTGGACTAGACTTCCGTACAAAACGTTGGAATTATTTCATTTCAAATACGCTGTGACCAACACAAATATAAACTATGCCGAATGTCGTCGATCTTTTACTCGGCGCCCAATTTTTGCGATACTATTCAGCCAGATCTTGACCATAGTCCATATAATTGTTACCAAGTTAATTGTAAAAAGATGATGAAGTGTTTTATGTATCTTCAAGCTAACAATAAAACTCCAGCTGGGTTGTGCTTGGGTCTCTAATATAATGTCTTTGTGTTCACCGTGATGCCATGAGACTGTAATAATATCTTACATGAATTATATTTTTGGAACTTAAACATTTCAGGTTGACATGCTTCATGGATTGACATCAGTTGGAGAATCACTGGAAACCTAGGAGCAATGAACAGCTGTTTCGTCCTAGTGTGTGACTCCTCAGCAATGGGTAATAATAACCCTGCCATAGATGGAAGCCAGAACTTTCAGGTTCTGCGGCCAGCATGTAACCATTGAGCCACTGGGGTGGGATACAGTGGCGATGTAGTGATGTAGCTCGGCCTCCATCCAATACCGTCGTTGAGTAACTGTCTTGACGTTCGACTTGGTTGGCCCCGCTGGTCACTACTTCTCACTAGAACTTCGGGAATCTATTCTTAAAGCAAGTCAAAGCTGAGCACTAGAGTAATCTAATTTGGAATTTTTTTGGGATTTATTTATTGGTTTTAAATTAATATTTATCATGAACTGACTGCTCTCAGGCTTTCAACGGTTCTCCAACTGATGTCAGTCCATGATGAATATCAACCTGAAATTAATTAATAAATCCCCACAAACTTCCGAATTGACCTTAAAATTTCTTGAGTTTTCTTCTGTGCAAGTTTCAGTTGAGAAGTTCGTTCTACAAGAGTTTCGAGTATATGGTCATCGTTAGACTCTAGACGTAGTTAGGCTTATGTTTTCGTCTCGTCCGTACTGATCATATACTGATGTGTTAGGAAACCATAGAATGGACAGTGTTGAGCTTAGATTTATAGTTTTTCTCTGTATTTTGAACCCATTAGCATTACCAATATCGTAGTTATTATTATTATTATGTAGTGAGTAATATATATCCACCTTTATTCAACACCTAGTAACTAAGGTATTCGTCTTTTTGATAGTTTCCTATTTTTGTACATGGCAAAGTTCAATATCTTGAACGGTTATACTGTTCTTGAGAGTTTCACTTTCTTATATCCATCTATGTATATATACAATCTGAAGAAAATTCAAACTTCCTGGGTTTATCAAAGTTCCATTGTTCAGGGTCTAACTTATTGTCATCTGTCAATGACAATAAGTTAGAGTGGGCATACACTGAAAAGGCCGACTGGGGACATCACGTATCAGGCCCTCGAGTGGAACCTAGATGAGAAGCGACGAGTTGGGCGTCCGATGGTGACATGGAGTAGATCGTGCGAGGAGGAAATGAGAGCTTGTGGGCTGTCGTGGAACCAGGTTCAAAAGATTTCAGAGAACAGAGTGAAATGGAGACGTGTTACTGGAAGCCCTGTGTTCCATTAGGAACCCAAGGGACAAATAATAATAATAGAACATATTGTCACTACTCCTGTAAGCTATTGATTTGGGTCTGTAGTTTACGCATATCGTTTTTCTGATGAGATTAAATCGATTGTGTTTGGTAAATGCTCGTTTATTTCCCAATGTCACTTACTTCTCCTAATATCGTCCTTTTGTCTATTCTTTCCTTACATGCAACCTGCTGGTCAATAAAAAATAAAGGATAATTCTGAATGGAATTCCACCTCTCCAATGTTTGGCTCTTATCATCAACAGTACTGGCTGGATGGTGAAAAGTTGATCGCAGTCGGTGTTATCGATCTTCTTCCACGATGTCTTTCATCTGTTTATGTGTTTTATGATCCAGATTATTCATTTCTTCATCTTGGCACGTATACTGCATTACGGTGAGTGAGTTCTTTGTATTATTATATAATATTTCTGAAAGGAAGGGGTTGAGCTTTTGCGTCGCTGTTGTTTGAATACCAAGCTAGTTACTGTTATCAAGTAATACGCAAAGGAGGTATTTATCTCTCAGGTATTGAGCAAAAAGCATATTGATTCTGATTGATGTGTAAACGTCAAGAATACTTTACCAATAAAAAACTACTAACAAGAGTATAGATGGATTGCAACGTAAAAGAAATGGAACAATAAGAAATGCTTAACGTTTAAGGAGTAGTAAGAGTTGTAGCGGGATGATGAAGCTGTGGCTCAGTGGTTTAGGGAGATGACTATCAACCATTGGGTCGCGGTCTTGAGCTCCTCTCCACCTACCGAGGTTTAGGCAGCCAGGTAGCATCACCAGTTCTTTGCCTATTACATGGATATGCACAACATAGAGTGCGTTTGTGTAGCTAGATGAGAAGTGAAAGACAACGTAACGTGTCGCCTCGACGGTTCCCGGTTCGATCCCTCACATAGCTGAAAGTGTATGCTGCTGAGTAGGCTCAAACTGAAACGAAACACCAGTCTAGTACTCCTAGATTGCTAATAGTTTTTCAATTGGAGTCAATCCTTGAGGAAAACTAATTAGAGAATCAAAATATATACCAACCATTATTGTCGTTCCAAAAATGTCGTAATCCTGCATCCTTACAGTCCGGTTCTCAAACATATACCACTGAGTTCCTTCTACTTCATATTGTTAATAACATTATCCACTTTCAAGTTATTGTTTTGTTTTTGAATGATAGATAATCAATTCTTTTAATCGTGTGTAAGAAAGGATTGTAGAATCGGTTCACTTGTTGCGTCCAAAACTTGAAATATGAGATTCTTTTTATTGTGTAGGTCTAACAGTTAAATATCACTTGATTTGAACGATAATATAAGATTTATTAATATATATTTTATATTAAGGTAAGGAATTCCACTGTATCTCCTTTTTAAACTATCAGTATTCAAAGATTTAGAAGAAAAAGAATCATCATTATAAGCATTGGACCAGGTATTACTGCGTAACGGTCCGAGTTGCCACACCTCACGTCAGTTCATCAAGTAAAAAGGTAGTGAGGTGAAGGATGAAGATAAGTGAATGCAGTCAAAAGAAATATAAAGTACGAGAAGAAAGGAAAGAGGAGTGACAAAATGGTGAGATTCGGTATACTGTTGTTAAGATGAGGATAATGTGTGGGGATACATCTGCGCCACTGACATCGGTTCTCAGCCATATCCCCTAGGAGTCAGCCTCCAACCACTGGTTCCTCTTGTCCCGCCGACCCCAACCACCTAGTCTGCATCACCCTACATGGCTGAAACCAACAGTGAGAGACTTCATACATTGGTGCCATGTTTTAGTCTGACCACCTCAAGCCTTTTTCCATCCTGGACCTACTTTAGCCAACATTGTGTGACGAGGCAAACGGTGACTGGGCATACGTAGTACGTGTCCCAACCTCTGAATCGATGAAGGTTCACAACCTCGTCATCGGCTGCTGCCCGACCGATAGCTGCTACCTTGACGTGGTGGTCGGGCTTGCATATCACAATGACCCGACGAGCTATGCTGGTGGAACGCTTGTTCCCTCGAGGTCCTACCATACCAGAAAGGTCTGTTGGATAGTGGTTAGACGAAAAGCAATTACTGTAGTGGTGTAAATTGCTACACTATGATGGGGGTCTGAGGGCGAAGTCGTACTGCTGCTAGCTGGATGTGGTGTGACAGCAGTAAGGTGTTTCCCTTGGATGACCTGACCAGCAGTGCCATGCTGCTGCTGCCTTCTCAGTGGAAGTGGGGGAGGGGGGGTTAGAAAAGGGCGGCCCCAAAATAACACACTCCACCACGCCCCACGGTCTGCCGGGCCGGCGGTGTTGGTTCACTTGTCGTTTCCTTTCCACCATCCGGCCCCAAAAATACAAAAGTTCAAAATAATCATACTCAAAAGGCTGGGTGTGACAGGCCTCAAGCAGATGTCCGATGGGCTCTGCGGTCACAGAAATCTCTTTCAGGTACCTTAAGAAGAAATAGCCTTCCACGGTGTGAGTAGCTGGGAAGTGTCAACCGCCCTCACAACTCTGTCAGCACCCAAGTTTCTTCTGACTGCTATCCACCTCCTCCATCATTACCTTCTAATCTTCCTTCACGTAGTACGTATCCCAACCATCTCAGTCGATGAAGGTTCACAACCTCGTCAACTGACTTATCTCTTCTCCCCAAAACTCTACACCTAACTTCTGCATTACTCACATGGTGACACCACGGAATACGTCCTATACTACGAAGGCAACTGTGGTCAAACACCTGAAGCCTTTTTGTATCCTCCACTTTCAGTGGCCATGTTTCACAGCCATAGAGTAGAACAGAGCGGACTGCTGTGCAGTACACGCGACCCTTAATAGACAAACGAATATCACGGCGGCGCCATAGGTGGCGCAAATTGGCAAAAGCCAATCGAGCCTTTTGTATCCGTGCAGAAATCTCATCGGCAACACTTTGAAAAGATGTAAAACTCAGGGATCTCACTTTCAGTCCCATTCAATAAGGTGTGAATCACACTTATTGTATTGTAGAAGGCGTGAGTTGATACATTCTGCTAATATAAACTTTAGTACTGATAGGAACTGGCCGAAATATAAATTAACATTTTAAGTCATCAACTACTAAGGTAGAAGTTTTAGATCTCGATTTTTGTTTCATGTCACTGTATGGTCATGAAAACCCTTATTGAACAATTTATCCTACAGTTGACCAATTAAAATAAGCTATTTAACGTTTGATCCAATGGTTTTATACGTTCATGATAACTGTATTTTTATCGAGTAAAGTGTCTTTCTTATAGTCATAGACCTGTCTCTTTATCTTCGGATTTTCGTGGCTCAGTGAAGTATATAGTTCTGAGGGAGAACAGTTGCTATTCTCATCCAGTTCGAGCGTCTCGTCGCGTTATTGTCGTTCGTTTATGTATTATTACTCATTAAGTCACTTCAAGTAGGCGAATCGAGATCTGAATTCTTAACAGTACGAATGAGTTCAATGTGTAAATATTGGAGCTAAATTCTACTGCATAAGTGGATATTCGGCAAATCGAATAGTTATTTATGCCTCTTGTTTGCTGAATGAGCATGTGAATGACCAAATATATTTGGTATTCGTAACTTGTATTGTTACATGAAATCTTGTATATGAAGCGTAGTGATTCCACCTAGTTGTTCATATTTTAATAGGTAGATTACTACTCGAACCTGTAGCAAATTAGTGGGAAGTTGAGTGTTTAGACTAAAGAATCACTGTTTCATCGTAGATCTATTCACTACTCATCTTCTTAAAACTTATTGATTTTCATTTGTTTGTCCCTCTACCAATCATATCCACTTAATGCCATATTGTGGTATGCGATGAAGTGATCCGATACACTTTTGTCAGGGTACTACTTTAATGATGGATAGTGGCTAGCAGTAGGATCCAAGACGTTCGTTCCATTCTATTTTGGACTCATCAGTTGGATGTACCTACCTCCCAGTGAGTATTGTTGTTAGCACTAGGTCTCGAACTCGGGACCGATCGCTTCAAGCGAAACGCGCGCCCTGGATCCCACTGCTAATCACTATCCATCAGTAGTATATAATTAAAACAGGTAATATCGAGGCGTTCGCACAGGAGGAGCCCATATATCAATTCGGTCCAATCAACAACATTAAAAAAGGTACTACTTTGTCATTCCTACTTATCCTTAAAAATGCGTCTGGTGATCTTTTTTGAAGTAGTTTTTTTCACTCATCGATGTCATTCAGCAACACTTAAAAATGGTATGTATTGGTCACTTTGTTCTCCTCTCTTTGAAAAATATTTAGGATTTCTACTTTCGTAGTTGATTCCATATATATCGGAAACGCAAGGTGTGTAAACACTCTGTCTTACAAATTGATTGTGATACGAAATTACCTTCGTTCAGCAAGTTTCATATGTGTCTAATTCCGTCTGCGATTTGATTTTGTGTGCGTATGTGTGTGCGTAGGCGTATGGGCCTCTAACTATGTACTGCAGTGTGTGGGCCTAAAGAACAGTCGAAATAAATTTTCATTGTTGTTCGATGTCCAATATCTGTTTAGTCGATAATCAGCTGATGATTAATAATTGACATTAAATTCTACTATCTAATGATCTAAAATCGAGCAATTGAAAATTTGTTGATTGGACACTTGAAAAAGTAGCGCAAATTGAACACAGAAAAACCTTTTTTTTCCATTATCTTTTCCTACCTTGATTGTGTTTAGGTTTTTAAATTGACATTCAACTGATACTCTGATGATATTGATGACAATCTGCAGAATTTATATTCCTTATGAAGGCGATGATTACAAAAGTTGGGGTGCTAATTACTAGATGAAATAGTTGTATATAACTCTATGATATAGTTATGTGGTCAAGGATTATTAGGAGTTAGAAAAATTGTTGTTGAACAGGGACATACCGACTGACTAGCTTCGTAAGACTGGTAAATAGGCTAGAGAGATTATAAACGTGGTTATATTTTTCAACGCTTTTAAGATCGGTCAGTTATCGATAGGATAAGTTGGCTCTAAATTTTTATCTGGGGATTGGAGTATGCACGCTCGACAGAGAAATCAGTGTAGAACCTCGCGCACAAGTGCATCGGTTTAAGTTGCCACAAGGAACAAATAGATAGGAAAAGACTGATATCAAAGTAGACAATGGTGTATGAAAAGACGTTAAGGAGTGGATGCATCTTCCCTATTGTGACCAATTTTCAACCATGTCATCAGCAGTCGTCAACCGTTGATTCTTTTCGTCTCTAGGACCTCAACCAGGTAGTGTACACTTCTCCCACATGACTCAAACCAACAATAAGAGACTTCATGGAGTAGTGTCACCTCTTGATCTGGCCATCCTGAGTCCTCTTTCAGTCTAATCCAACTTCCCCTAGCATGACACGTCGAGATAGGCTGTGGCTCGTTATGCTCAGCACATGTCCAAGCCACCTCAGTCATTAAAGGTTAACAAACTGATCGAACAACTTGCCATCCTTAGCTAGTACCTTTCGCTTAGCCTCTATATAGCTAACATAGTGATTTCACCCTACGTGAGCAGTACTACGAAGACACGTATGGCTTCAGTTGTAATACGGATTGACTTTTTGTAAAATTGTAGTTACACTTTGTTATTAAGTGTGGTCAAACTTCCTGAATGTTGAATCGAACCATCTAGTGCTGAATAAATCCTACAGTACATTTGATTGTTTGCTGAACAATGGTTAGCAGTGAAGTTTTCTATTTAACCAGTGATTGTTAAAGGTTTTTGATTATTTTGAACGCCTATTGTCTAGTGTTGTTAGTAATCACTACCTTCTGCTTTATTTTTGATCTAAGCGCTTCTTATCCTCAATATTTATTTCGATATGATGATTTACTGTTTGTATTTCAGTGAGATTGCTTTTGTTCGACATTTGGCTAGAACGTATGGACCGTATTCTGTCAATCGTGAACCAATGTATTCAAATTTTGATTCCTATTATTTAGGTTATTATATACATTCATGTCCAAAAATGTCGTATAAAGCCCAGTATGGTCCAGCATATTTAGCCTGCCCTGAAACATTCAACTGGTTACCTCTAAGTGATTGTTTAAAAGCATTAGATAACTCAACTAATGGTAAATATGCACGATTTTCTCACCCATCTGCAATCGATACAAATGCTATCCCTATGAATATTAATTTAGATCTTTTAGATTCACAGATATATTTTTGTATAAAATATGATGAAGATGATGATAATGATGATTTCAGGAATGCTCCAATCTCACTTTTTACTCTACGTTCACGTTTAAGCATGTGTTCAATTCCCATTTTTCGTGAATGGGCTAGACTATTAGGTAATCGTGTATTGTCTGGACAATTTCAAATTGTTATTCGTTCACGTTAGTGATATGCAAAGGGGATATTGTACATGCATTATTATTATTATTTATTCAACATTTACATTCACATTTGTTTTAATGAGTTATTAGATTAAAATGAAGCCTATTCTGCTTATAAATTGCCCTAACAATAATTATACTGTCTGCCATAGTCTTAATATCTGTTTATTTGTAAGTACAGTATAGGATCAGCCATATAATTCTTCATATAAATATTTAAAGGCAAATGTTTAAATGTTTACTGAAAGTGATCTGCAGAGTTATATTTGAGTTTCTTTTTAGTTCCAGTTTAATCCTTATTTTGACTAGTTTTCGAACAGTTCCTGCAGGACGTATTGTTCTGATTTTGCTCACTGCCACTACCCACCAATATATATATATATATATATATATATATATATATATATATATATATATATATATATATATATATAAGTACATCTACTTTGATGAATTCACTTGTATCAAGCAAATTATACCTTTTAGAATAGAACCTGTGTTTTGATATGTCCTGAATGCTGATGTAAATTGTTGTATACCTATAAGTAACTGTAAATTTCTTGCCAAGAATTGAGTAACCAAAGTGACACTAAGCCATTCTTCAACCGATAAATCAAACACTCGAGTTACACTTAAAATTCAAAACACTGGATTTGTCAAGAATACGTTACTGTATTAGTAAACAATAATCACTAATAGATTACAAACCTCGAATCGTGAAGTTTCTGTGGGCTTATTGGCGTCAAGAGCACCTTACAGGAATTGCGTCAACAATGTAAACAACAAAGGTGTGTTCAAAGGAAAACATGAAAAACCCGCGGACCTCCACGACCAGGTAAAAGAAATAAGATATCTTGTAGCATGGTTGAAGAGTCCTTATTGTTCCCGTTTGCTTTCGCGGAGGCTGCACAGTTCTTTTTGAAGCTTGCGCCACAAGATCACAGGATGTGGGGGTCACTAGTCGTTGGTAAGCGAGTATGCTTGCTTGAACTCATGAATAGTGTTATACAGATAGCTGCAGACAGTTCTGCCTATCGTCGTATAACTATCATCGCCCATCAGCAGCTTAAGATAATGCATACGAAGGAGACTATTAAAGGGCTACTTGGATTCATCGAATGGGTCACTATAGTCGTGATAAACATAACAGCTTAGGAAAAGTGTCACAGATGTTGAAGTGGAAAATTAGCTACTTCATATGATGAAGTAGATAAGTGGTTTATAGTTGCCAAGGCATATTCCTTTGAAGAGTTCCTACGCTATCTATCAGTCTGGTAATAATAATTTACTGATAATTTGTTCTTGCAAATACAAACACTTACCAGTTTACAAGCGCGGTTATATACTTATACCAGTTTGGCACTTTTGACTGCCCAAAGATAATCGGTAGGTTTATATAAGTAGAATTAATGTACAGAACAGAACAAGATAATGGATATCCAAGGTTTCTACACAACAGTTTTTCACGAGGATGTGCTTATTTCGCATATCCCGAAAGAAAGAAACGTTAGAGAATTGTTACATGTCTTATTGGAAATAATTCATTTTAAAGACGGATGATAAGATGCACATCATATAACTTATCAAAGATTGTCTGGATAATTGTGTTATAGGCTCAAAGCAGGAGAATATATTACAGTAATGGTCTAGTCAGACTTTTCAGTAAGAATTCATTAAACCGTACTTTTGAAACAATGAACAAATATGAGTGCAAAATAATAAGGAGAAATTGGCAATTTAGCGCGCAAGATTCACTACCCATGTTACAAAAGGGCAAATAGTTGTAAGTATGAGCATAAAGACTGAAAAAATTGTAAAATATAAGTATTTTTGCGAATAAGGAGCTTATAAGCAACGTAACAGTGACAGTTTGACGGCATAGAAAGTTCGTTGTATATGCAGTTCTGGAATATGTAGTTTCATGATTGGATGAAAATAGTAAGCTTGATGATGTTGTAGGACGAAATATTTCCTTTTGTACTTATCGACTTGGTGCTAGATGGAGATAAATGTAGCTTCCTCACAGTAATTCAAACAGGTTGGATATCAATCTCACCATGTTTGATCTCAGAACAAGCATTTACAAAAGGGAAGAGAAAATGAATGACGAGAGAATACAGCAAGAGAGGGCTGGAAAAATTTGGTAAAAGTACATTATGAAGACTGAGAATCGCTGTCAACAGAGTATTCCATAAAAAGTAATAAATATGGTCACGCCGTGTTATGATTCAAATGGCAGTAATAGTGTTTTATAGTAAATTTGCACATTAGCACTCAGCTTTAGTAAGATTTACGACATATGCGTTAGTATGAAATGTCCGGACAGTGTGTAGAACCAAGTGTTCACGGATATCCTTAAATAGTAGCTTATATTGATTAAGGCTTAAATTATATCGTAATTGAGTGCGAATGGAATAGATGTAAGAGTAGGATGAGGAAGCAATAGGTGTTGTGGTGGTAGGGTGGAAATTAGTGAGGAAGCATACGAAACGAGTCACTTGTTAGGCGGAGGTTTGAAGGTAACTACTGGTATTTATGGATAGGAACTGCACTAGTGACTTATGGGAAGGAAGTTCAAGTAGTAAGTAATGTTTAATAAGCATTTGCAATGCACGTTCACGCTGTACTGACATATGCATTTAGGTGTCTGACGAAGGTAGCAACCATGTACCAGGAGAGAGTCTATATTACTTCGTAGCACCGGCTGTCGGGGAGATTTTTCACTGGGAAACTTGTCTTTTTTTTCAAAGATATAGCTTTTTTCATGTTTCATATTTGCGCTTTTTTTCTTTTCAGTTTCTATTATTTTATTCATGAACAGGACCCATAGCAATCGCTGTGCTGTCCGTTAGATCAGGGTGGATCTTATTTGTCTGTTGAATGAGACTACTCGAGTCACAGCCATCATAAGTCTAACAATAATATTAATTACTAGTTTATGTAGCGCATATAGAAATCATTTTGTTGATATTACCAGAAAAACTCAAAATGATTAAGTCTCTCGAGTTCCCTTATAGTTAAAATGCCAAAGATTGAAATCCCCTTCCACCTGGGCAAAGCATTAGGAAATCTTTACGCTAATAACCACTCTTACTGAATATTACATCACTTCATCCATCAGATGAATGTGGTGCAATAATAAAAAAGAAAGAATGTAATAATCATAAGGTGCAGAGATACAATATCCTGAATGTTTGATTCATTATAGAACGTCGAGTGCCGGCAAATAATGTGTACGTGAGTATTTTTTTCTGGTTACCACCTCAATCAAATAGTAAATACTAACGACAGGAAGCAGCAGAGACTTATGTTCATCCATCTAGAACGGAAGGAAGAGAAACATTTGATAATGAATAATGAACGTTTATTTTCGAAAACATAGAGTTATTTTGGTCATATACGGTTGAATTGAGTATTCTGAACATGTAAGTGTGTAAAGTAACACGCTAAAACTACAAATGACATTCGACCGTGCACAGATGATCATTGGATAAAAGGAGCTTTGAAAACTGAGTATCATATAAGCATAGGAGTGATTTTACAATTATTTTGAATCATTTCGTATTTGATTGTCAAGAAATTTCATAACAACCTCTGTGTGGCACGAACATTTTTCCTCTCCGTTTGATTAAAAAAGAATTCAGTCCTTTGTAAGTTGAAAAAAAGTTATTTCACAATACCCTTTTCACATTTATCATTTTCTAACTGTCAGTTCTTTCGATTCAACATAATGAGATCACATAATATATTAGATGTTATCGATTCTGTTAGAATCTAAATTGAAATAATACGAGATTTTGTTGTGCCGTAAAAAATGTGTTCTATGAAGTAACTTGCGTAATTACTCATTGTTTTACACTTTTAAAGTGCGTTGTTAAGCACTATCAACTGCTTGGTATTACCAAATACTATTGTTTTAGATGTGCTTGCTCCGTTGTTCATTCACGTTCTGTTTGCACTTTTCTCCACTCTATGGTTATCTGTTGATCAGGTTAGCTGCCCTTGCCAAAGTTACATACTTCTAAAAATAGATATGCAACAAGCTGTCCAGGTGCTAGAAGTCAGTTACTTGTACCTGGTCATTACATGACCACAAAAGATCATCAACAAAAGCGCAAAACAGTATTTCAAGCCTCCAGAAGCCTTATTATATTTTCTCAGATGAATATGCAGATTTTCTGAGAGAACTATATGAACTAAATCCGCAATGTCCCAGCGGTATAACAATGAAAGTATCATCAGCTGAAAAGACAAGTCTAGTATAACGATCAGTCGCTTGTGAGATATGATCAACTAATGAGCTGAGATCCTTTCAGACATGCATTACTCTGCTTACCTATTACCTTATACAAGTGATAAATTCAAGGTTCGAGAAGTAATCAATAAAATACATGATGCAAGTGAAGACATAGGTTTCAATCTCTCTGTAAGAACTCTATGTTGGTCATCAAAAGTTCCAGGAGATCATAGAAAATAGTACCCCGACCCTTAACAGCAGTTTTACAAAAAAGCGACGTTCATGTGTTAGTAATAGGTAGTTTCAACTTACCTTAGTTATGTAGAGTAAAATGCACTGAAGATAGTGATGGCATGTTCAGGTAACCTAAAATAACATAGAGTTGGTGAATATGTGATGGAAGATATTCGACTGAAAACATTCACATCAGATTTGATTTTTTTTTGGATAGAATGCAGTGGTATGCAACTAATAAACGAATGTTTATTTTGGGTTTAGTGATCACTTCCTGGTGTTCTTTGACTTATTTCTTCACACAAGGTTTCATGTGCGTGGGCATTAAGCAGTAGGGGATTATTGTATGAGTGACCATATTAGCATTGTAAAAAGTCAGAAGTGAACAGACTAACCAGATGTTAACTTCTGTCTAGACTTGAACTGACACTTAGGTTTCCCCAAAGACATAACTATCTAGTTTATGGTCAGCACAGTTCAGTACCTGCAAAACGCAAATGGGTTCAGATTCATCGCTAAGTTTTGTGATCTGCG